TCCCTATTTAATAAATGGTGCTGGGGAAAACTGGCTAGCCATATGTAGAAAGGTGAAAATGGATCCCTTCCTTACATCTTATACAAAAATTAATTCAAGATGGATTAAAGACTTAAATGTTAGACCTAAAACCACAAAAACCCTCAAAAACCTAGGCATTACCATTCAGGCCATAGGCATGGGCAAGGACTTCATGACAAACACCAAAAGCAATGGCAACAAAAGCCAAAACAGATAAATGGGATCTAAATAAACTAAAGAGCTTCTGCACAGCAGAAAAAAACTACCATCAGAGTGAACAGGCCACCTACAGAATGGGAGAAAATTTTTGCAGTCTCCCCATTTGACAAAGGGCTGATATCCAGAATCTACAAAGAACTTAAAAAGATCTACAAGAAAAAAATCAACCTCATCAAAAAGTGGGCAAAAGATATGAACAGACACTTCTCAAAAGAAGACGTTTATGCAGCCAATGGACACGTGAAAAGATGCTCATCATCAATGGCCATCAGAGAAATGCAAATCAAAACCACAATGAGATACCATGTCACATCGTTTAGAATGTTGATCATTAAAAAGTCAGGAAACAACAGGTGCTAGAGAGGATGTGGAGAAATAGGAACGCTTCCACACTGTTGGTGGGACTGTAAACTAGTTCAATCATTGTGGAAGACAGTGTGGCGATTCCTCGAGGATCTAGAACTAGAAATACCATTTGACCCAGCCATCCCATTACTGGTCATATACCCAAAGGATTATAAATCATGCTGCTATAAAGACACATGCACACGTATGTTTCTTGTGGCACTATTCACAATAGCAAAGACTTGGAACCAACCCAAAATGTCCATCAATGATAGGCTGGGTTAAGAAAATGTGGCACATATGGCACATATACAGCATGGAATACTATGCAGCCATAAAAAAGGATGAGTTCATGTCCTTTGTAGGAACATGGATGAAGCTGCAAACCATCATTCTGAGCAAACTGTCACAAGAACAGAAAACCAAACACCACATGTTCTCACCTATAGGTGGGATTGAACAATAAGAACACTTGGTCACAGGGTGGGGAATATCACACACCAGGGCCTGTCATGGGGTGGGGGAGGGAGGAGGGATAGCATTAGGAGATATACCTAATGTAAATGACAAGTTAACGGGTGCAGCACACCAACATGGCACATGTATACATATGTAACAAACCTGCATGTTGTGCACTTGTACCCTAGAACTTAAAGTATAATAAAAGGCTGGGTGTGGTGGCTCATGCCTGTAATCCCAGCACTTTGGGAGGGCAAGGTGGGCGGATCACGAGGTCAGGAGATCGAGACCATGGTGAAACCCTGTCTCTACTAAAAATACAAAAAATTAGCTGGGTGCCATGGCACGCAGGCGCCCTGTACGTCCCAGCTACTTGGGAGCCTGAGGCCGGATAATGGTGTGAACCCAGGAGGCGGAGCTTGCAGTGAGCGGAGATCGCACCACTGCACCTCCAGCCTGGGTGACAAGCGAGGACCCGTCTCAAAAAAAAAAAAAAGGTATGATTGAAAAAAAAAGTTTTTTACCCCCCTTGGTTAAATTGGTTTCTGTGATGAATTTATTATTTTAAATACTATTATTAAATAAGATCTTTTTCTTCTCTCTATCTGTATTCAGAATAGTTGAAGGTGTGAAGGCCACACATAACTTTATGGTTAATTTATATATTTTGCTGAATTTACTGACTATATTTATTAGTTGTAGACAATTTTTTGTTTGTTGTTCCAGAACAGGAATCTCACTGTGGTCACCCCAGGCT